CATCTCCCCCCACCCCCCGCTCGACTGCCTCTTGCTGCTTCTGCTGACGTCCCAACATTACCCCCTCTCCCCCCCCTACCTGGACGCCCGCTCCGCAGCGCCACCCCCCGCTCGACTGCCTCTGCTGACGTCCCAAGATTACCCCCTCTTCCCCCCTACCTGGACGCCCGCTCCGCAGCGCTACCCCCTGCCCCAGCGACTCTAGTCCGGCGGCGGTGGAGGGGGCAGCCGCCTCGCCCCGCCACCGCTCCCTGGCCACAGCGCCTGCAAGCCAGCGCGTATGCAACCCAACGTACTGGAACGTCTTAGCCTGGACACCCGGTACCCTGGCATTGTTCGGCACATCAAGCTGCTCGTCAATGAGGATTCGGCAACGCAAGATCACTCTGACGATCGTCGTGGTACATGGTGCACCAATGAGCATAATGATATATGAAGTTTACATATTTTTACAAGAAATTTGTCATTTTGAAGCGAATACCTTAATGAACTTATTTTGACGAACGATTTATTAATTTTACAAATGTATCCGTACGGAAAATTAAAACTCATTTCTTTGTCATCGCGACAGTATTTTTCTTTAACAACGTGCACTCCTGGCTCTGCCCGGCTCTGCCCTCACCAAACAGCTGACATTGGGTTGGCGCTGCGCTGCGCCGCCCACTGGCTGCCCGCCTGAGAGGTGGGCATTCCCGTCGCGCACCCATGACCGGCCGGCTGGCCCACCCAGCACGGCGCTCCACAGCATAGACCTCCTTGCGCAACCCAGATGATTATTTAATTAATTTCTTTATCCCCGCGACCATTTTAGGTGAATAACTTCCTGCCCACGCCAGCCAAGATAACAACTATTTGAGATTATATTACGAATGTTGGAAACCATTTATGTCATTCACTTGCAAACACTACTAAGAAGTGTGTGTCTGGCACGGCACACACTAGGAAGTGTGGCACACGTTTGGAAATGTGTACTTGCCATAGCGCTACGCTATGTGGCGCGTACACACTAAGAAGTGTGTACCACGCATGTACACACTTCTTAGTGTGCTTTCAAGTAGACACAAGGAAAAGTGTACTATGTGCACACTTGAGGTTTACGGTATGCAACTTGAGTTAAACACCATGTAATGTTTAAAATCATATAACTTGCACACGTTGGTGTTAGAATTATGCACACTTGTTTTACCAGTGTAGTGGTTTTTGTTTTTGTTTTTTTCGATAAAAAAAATACGTTGAAAATGACAAGCTATACAGACACAAAAGAAGGAAGGAGGTGTCAAATCGTAAAATGACACTGGTGAAACAAGTGTGCAAAATTTGCTCACCAACTTGTGCAAGTTATGATTTTGCACATCACATGGTGTTAAATTCAAGTTGCACACTTGCGTGGTGCAAATTTTAGACGTTTTTCAAACGTTTAAATTTTGCAGCCTAGACTTGTATGGAACTCATATGAAGCTCGCCAGCTAAAGGTGTGAAAGTTCACATTTAGTGCCTTTGGTAAGGCACTAAAGGTAGGGATTCGTACCTTTGTTTTTCCAGTGCGGGGGCCGCATTAGCCAGTCCAGTGACTTGTAAGAAAAATGCTGAACTGAATGACCCATCTACCAGTCTTCGTATAGAGTAGTTCTGCATTCGCTAAATGTAGACACACCGGCACGCAAAGGAAATCGAAACAATCGCTGGCCCTTCTTTGTCGCCCTCATAAACGGCCTGGTTACGCTCATTACGAGGGTCGAACCCCCGGCCTAGAGTTGCCGAAGACACCCGCGCCTGCTTCGCCGGCCTCCGCTCTCCCCATGAAAAGATGTTGGCAGGTCTAGCCAGGGGTCGGGCGGGGGCCGGGGGCAGGGCTCCACGCATCGTAATGACGGTTACAATGGGGCCTCGGGTTTAGAGGGATGTCGGTGTGTCTACATTTAGCGAATGAACTATACATGGCTATACGCCCGGTGCGGGAGCGCGAGTGCGAGAGAGAGCTCCCACCTGTGTGCGGCCTGCTCTCTGAGCCCCTGACACTAAAGCCAACATTGTAAAGAATTGATGCTGCACTTCAAAAATAACTTCAAGACTATACTTCCCCGGCCTTTCTCTTACAATTTATTATAAAATTGAACTGTACAGTCATATTTATTGTGTTTGTAATGTACAGTTTTAAATAAATTTCTTGACAGTGCCAATGCGGAAAATATATGCAATTGGATTAATAATGTTTGGATGCTTCATTTCCCATCTCTTACACCCTAAAAGTAAGACCAAGGCAAAGAAATAAAACCCACCCTTTACGCCACCCTGACCATGTCGCAGTACAGTTTATTTGTTTGTTTTTTTAAAAAAGATTAACAACAATTGATAATGGTAGATAAAAGTTAACGAACGAGTCTGTTCTTGCGCGCTCCTATTCCAGACATGATTGTTGCATAGGCAAGACGCAGTACCGCAAACGAGGTCAGCAACAAAATAAAAGTGGGGGGTGAAGGGTGGAAGGGGAGATGGAAGAGGTAGGCGGAAGGGTGGCTGGAAAGCAAGTTTTGCTACTTTATTTAGCGTCTATTATGAACGGAAAACCTACGCAATGATCATTAACATTCACTTTCAAGTCTTTCGGCAGACGGCAGTAAGCTCTCGAGTCTATTGTACTCGACAGAGAGTAAATCTGACAGTTATATGGCACTTACAAACATTGCCCTAACCTCTCATTATGACTCACCAGATTAGTTTCTTCCTCAACTTCTTTCCGACTCCCCTTTCAAAACGTTCTGAGCACTGAAAACCACCAAGCACTCACACAAATCGTACCAGGGTATTGTGACAATGCACGGGACATGTTGTTCCATTAAATAAATGTCTGCTGTCAAGCAACAGGGCGCTTCATCAAAAGTTTGGCCACTACTACCGCAACCGCAACATTCCGCATCGCCAACACGCAGAGAAAAAAAGTTTATCTAAAATATAATAATAAAAACTACATTAACAAAATATATTAAAAGCAAATAAATCTTTGAAACAAATTTACGCAAAAAAAAAGAATATATACATTTAAGCTGAATGCCAGCGCAGCATCTTCGCAAAGAAAAATATCCAGATTCAGTTTTGAATGTTGGATACTCAACTGATAGATTAAATGATTGCTTCTTACTTAATTAACAACATGATTTGTTGTTTATCCTGCAACTACTTTCTCTGAAGCCTAACAAGATTTTGACAAATTTTGAGACACAAAAATTGTAAATTTTGTCCGTAGTAACTAACTTTTGATGTGGGCAGTACGGACCTTGCACAGACGCCTTCTAAGGCTTCGAGCGCGAGAAAGGATAGAAGAAGACAGAAGAAAAGAAGAAGAGATTTCGGCGTTGTCCAAACGAATAACATTGAGTATTGAAGTGCCGCTCTGTGTTCAACAGCTTCAATACTTGATATTACGCGTTTCCGTGAAGATTGTATAGTTGACCTGATACTCACAAGCATTCCGAATGGCGTAAGTGTTTCTTCCTCACAATTTGACGATACCCTCGTTGTTTGTGTGGGACTCTGCGTCGCCTAACCTCGCGTGTGTACCGGGCGGCACGCAGATTTGTAAACTAAAACTAGTGGCCACTAACTAAAACATCTCGCTTTTTGTGCAATAGGTCCGTGTCCAAGCCCAAGTCAGAAATGACGCCCGAGGAACTCGCAAAATTAGAAGAAGAAGAATTCAATACTGGTCCTTTGTCAGTGCTAACGCAGTCTGTCAAAAATAATACTCAGGTATGCTATTAATTAACTTCACTATTTGTGTATTTTGCACCATGACTTCTGGTATGCATCTATCAGTCATACTCTTACTCCTACCAGGTATTGATAAATTGTCGCAATAATAAGAAATTACTAGGAAGAGTTAAAGCTTTTGATCGTCATTGTAATATGGTTCTGGAGAATGTGAAAGAAATGTGGACCGAGCAACCCCGAGCAGGAAAAGGAAAGAAAAAGGTATTGTGTGGTGTGGTATGTTTTATGAACTGTGTCCATTGCGTTTGCTAATTGTTATCTATCGTCTACAGGGTAAACCCGTCAATAAGGATCGTTTTATATCTAAAATGTTCTTGCGAGGGGATTCTGTTATTTTAGTGCTGAGGAATCCACTTGCAGCCAGTGCTAAGTAAATTTTCTACCTTTTACAACTTTCTTTCCCAATGTATCTCAAGTTTTTCTGCCTACCAGTTTGAAGTTTTATGTTAACATACAAAACGTGTATTAATCAATTTCATTGTGGCAATGTACAAATTTGTCCTGATCTATTGTCTGATTTTTTTAAGTTATCAACCATAGACCTTTTGTTTCACATAGCAATATATAAAAATGAGGAAAATGAAATAAACATATTTCAAATGTGGCTTTAATGGTACTAATTATTTTATAAAATAAACATGAGAATAAAGCACCATGGTTCTTCCTTTCATTCTTTTTCAGATATAGCAGTCAAATGTTTGTCAATTTCTTCTTCAGACAGCACCCTGCAGGAATACATAATTATTTAATATCAAACAATAAAGTAGGAGTAAGAATATAGAAAGTTAGGTCCTTACGTAAACTTCGAATCCTCTTTAGAAACAACTCCTACTTCAATCTCAGATGCCTTGAAGTCAACAGACAGAACTGAAGAAAGGCATGATATTGCCATCTAGTGGTGTTGAGAGACCAAGAAGAATGTTAAAAGCAGCTTGATAATTTTAAGACAAGAGGAGGTAAGTAATAGTACCTGAACAGCTTCGTCATGACTGTAGTCCTGACGTTTTTTGAATTTTTTCTCCAGGAAAGAATTTGCTTCAGTCTGCTTGGAGCCAACACTTATGGCACGGTATGCACAAAAATAACCTGCAGGGTCAGCCTTGTACACACAAGGACCATTTTGCTCATCATAAGCAACCAGCATCATGCCTGAAGAGGAAGAGAAACAGAAATAACGATTTAATCACAGAAAAAAAAGAAAGGATATATGTTTATGATAAAGCTGTAAAATCTTTAACACATACTGCATCCAAGAGGTCTCATCTCTGCATTTTGTGTGTATACTTGGGAGATGTCAGCAATTCTCCTGCAGAGGACGTCAACAGGCATATCATAGCCATATGTGTACTTCCAATTAGCAGCTTCATAGCGGGCTCGCTGAACTTGAGACTTACTGTCAGCTGAAAATTTTAACTTATTCAGAGATGTTTTTTTTTTTAATTTATACTAACAGACAAAACTTTTCACTGTACTCACCAATGAGACCAGTCATAACACAACCAATGCTGTCAGTAAGTTTGTACAAATGGGTAACAGTTAAAGGGTCCAACAACTTATCCTGGAAATAAAAATTCAATTATTTTAAAACAGGCCAATAGCAGACAGAAAGTACAACAAAAAGTAAATAAATCAGCAAAAATCGTATACCCGAACTTAAATATTATGAATGAAATCATCAAAGTATTCAAAAGACTTACAGGAACTTTCTTCTGAGTTGCTACGACTGCCGTATCCACTCCCTTCAAGGCAACAGAGGTCAATCCACCTTGATTAATGGCTTTGAATGCATATTCTGTCAAAACAAAGAAATATGACAGTCAGATGCAAAATGTCAAATATGCATGTCATGCTAATGAGACCACAATTAAATTCTCGTGAGAAGATATTGATGTTTTTAGACCTACTACTGACTAACGGAATACTTCATCACACAACGAGCCCAAATTTCATAATCTAAGGGAAATGGAAAATTAAAGAGAGACAGCTCCTAACCTAACCTCCCAGAGTCCCTGACTAGGAAGTTTCGAGGAGAAAAGGGACCAAACAAAATATGACTAAAACAAAAATGACAAGAACAACGTTTTCCTTCCCAAACCACAACAGGTGTATCGTAAGTGGTAGTATAATTTAGGCTAGGTTGAAATTAAAATATGCTTAGTCAACGAGCCGGGCTCATGACGGAAGGGAATGCATCTACAATAACCGGTAGCATTTCATGGCGGTTGAATTAATTTTGAAAAAATTACTGTTATTAAAGAGTCTTGTACATACCAACTTGATACAGTCGTCCTTCAGGAGAGAAAATAGTGATGTGCCTATCAAACCCGGCACTGCTTCCTCGGGACATTTTCGATCAGGCCTGAGACGCTAGTGTCACAACGGCCACCACAACCCTACTTTTGTGAATTGAACTAAACTTCTGCACCACAAACCACGGCCACCTGAAAGCTAAAAGACCGAAAGGCCGGAAAGAAGAAAGAAAAGAATAACTAGGTGCAATAATCCTGTGATCGGTTTCTTTTTAGACACGGAAATTTAAAGATTCAGTTCATTATTCAACTATTGGACTTCAAAAGCTAGCAACCTGACTTTACACTTCCAAATCGAAAGCGCTTCCCCGAACCCTCAGTGGGTTCTCTTTTTTACTTGCAGATCACTACATTCGGATTCAAATATTCCCGCGTGTTATCCACGAACATCCGTTTCCTTTCCTGGTTTCTAGCAGAAGACGAAGACCTGAAGTGGGGACATAGGAGGATCTGTGTTCCACACTACTTAAAAAATGTTTTTCTTCAAGTATTTAATGAGGCCCAACTCTTTTTTATATTGTAATTTAATACTTTATTTTTTAACCTGACACCCTCTTGAAGATGGGCACCATGGGGACTCGAGCAGCTGCCTGTAAGTGGAAGAAAAAGTATTCTGGTGACCTGATTGCCTACCCCCCAGGCGTTTCGTTCTGATACTTTTACTTTATTTTTGTATTTTCATTTGGAATCGTTTTTGATGAATGAAAAAAGTCTCAAACCACGTATATTCGATCATTGGAGGACACATTTTGATGTGTGTTGGTGCCGTTGTTACTCGCTGAACTTGAAGACTTAACCTCTTCATCCCCCCCCCTCCCCTCCTCCCTCTGTTCTATCAATATGAGATGTCAATACTGCTTCTACAAGAAATTCAATTAGCAATTTCTCTTCGTTTTTGTTTGATGTAAACTTACTTTTTTTAAATGAAAGTTATCTTTTAGAGGGGGAGACTTGCATTTCCACTCATTCCAACTTATCTGAAAAACAATCTTTTAGAAGTTTGGTCAATTGTAAATTTTAATTTGTTTATTTCAGTCACTGTAAAGGTGAGAGGTCTTCATGACTTCCACTTTCGTCTTCTGCATGGTATATTGCCTTTACCATCAGGACATGATGGAGCTGCTGTTCTCAAGTACTTCTCTCAGACCTTACTAAGTAAGTCCATTTTCCCTTCTGTACAGAATATGGAAATTACCTACTAGTTTGGAGCAGAACATTGCTGTAGACTTGGCAATAATTAAGCAAAATCTGAACAAATTTCGCCTTATGTTTCACAGCTGTTTTGCGTGACGTCAAAGCTAAAGAGTCGCCTCTAGAAATGGTGAAAGTCCCTGAAAGTGATGCCAAACGTATGGCTCTTTATCCCAATCTGGACTACAGAGGGCTTTACAATGCCATAGTACAACTTGTAGATAGTGCTTCTGCTATTCAATATGGAGTGCAGGGTTTGTACTTCTGATCATACTTCATTTTATTTTTTATGACAAAAATGTATGACTTGTAATCCTTGTACTTGTATTCCTTCAGAGTTTGGCCGAGCATTGCTACAGTGTTTGGGATGCTTGTTACCATTTATAGAAAATGACATGATAGATACACTTCCTTATTTAACTGCTTCTACTATTGCTGTCCTTCCTTCCTCTCTTCACCAAGAAATAGTGAACCAATTATGCTATTATGTTTTCCCCTTCACACTAAGTAAGCAAGATTGATATCTATGTGAATCACTTTTTACTTAACTAATGAACAATAATAACTTTGAAAATTGTTTTTTTTTTCCCCCAGCCAGGAAAACAACTGAAGGGCAGGAGACTTATGCATCACACTCAGTTGCAGCAATTCTTATGCTTGTTTTCCAATATGCTGAAAGCACAGGTATGGAAATGAATACCTTGCAACAAATGTCCTTCCCCTTCATCAACTTTTTGACCAATCTCAGTTTTATTCTGTTATTTAGCTCAACACAGTCAACTTATGGAATGTTTGATGTCAATGAAATCAGACTTGGCTCGCGATGTCTTATGTGTTATTGCCCATGGTTCAACTGCAGCTCGTGCTTCTGCTGCAAAGCTTCTTTTTCATTACTGGCCATCATTTAATACTGCTCTAGTTGATCGAAAAAGTTTCCCCAACAAGTTTGTCAGTAAGTATTATTTTGACTGTGTAATTAACAGTTCCAGAGGTTTTTACTCATACATTTCTTTACTTTATTTTCTAGCTGATTGGCCTCCATTTACCTGCCAAAGGGATCAATGCCCCAATGCAGGGAATGCAGAAGCTGCAAAAGTATGCTATGATCATGACATCTCTATCATGTTTGCCAATGAAAGGCCTCCTCCTCTGTACCTGTGTATTGAGTGTGCCAACGATATTCATAGCAAACATGAAGATAAAATGTTTCTGGATATTTTGCATCCAATGCAGCAAGTTTCTGTCACCTGTGAGAGCAAAGTAAGTCTTTCTGTCTCAATAGTGGTTAATCTATCTACTACTACCCCTCAATACATATTTTGTAAACATTGATGATCATTAAACACTGATTTATTTATTTTTCTCTTCCAGAGTTGCCGATCAAGTGATAAGGCAGTAGTTTCTGTATGCTTCTCGGCTGACTGTATCAACTACAATGGCAACCACCCAATTCGATTTTGTAGACAGTGCCATGATAACCGTCACAATAATCGAAGAGGAGTAGACCATATTGTGCATTCTAGTTTAAAGCAAGCTTGGGATATGGATGAAGCAATGCAAAGTTATCTTGTGGAATCAATTGTTAAGTAAGGATCTTGTTCAAATTTTCTTAAGTTTGTTGTACTAATTTTAAGAACTTAACTCCTTGAATTGTAGTGGTTAATCTTACTTTTCTATTACAGCCTTTTAAGAGAGGCTCAGTGGCATGGTTTAGAGGTGCGCCCCGGAGGTTTGACTTCAGAGTTTACAAGCACCGCAATAAGTAGTATAGCAAGTAGTAGTGATCCTCCATTACTTATTGTGGAAGATGAGCTTGCCCAAGATGAACGTCAGCTTCTGGGACGGTATGGAGTCTGGCTTCTTGTTGGCCTCTGCACTCCAAATGCTGAATCAACACCTACCCATACACTGGGGCGGCTCCTTGCCATGCTTTTTCATTGGTTCCATATTACTGCATACTCCTTTGATGGTGTGTACACAATATCTTTTTGTTTCAATCATTCTTTTATCCATCACAATCCATTAAAGAACTCTAACTAAATGCCAAATACTTCTTCTGTTTTCTTTAGATCAAGCTGAAAACACTTTAGAGGGATTGAAAACAGACTTTGTTTGTGTTTGGCTTAAAGAAATTTGCAAATCTCACTTTAATGTGCTTGTGTCATGCCTTCTTCCTCATCCTCCTGACTACTCCCGAGTTGGTGGCCACTGGTGAGTTCTATTGCAAATTTAATCGGCCTGATCTTGATAATACTGTTGTACATAGTTTGTTTTCCTTCACTCCTCATTACTTTGTTTCAGGGACACAATGTCATCAAGAACTTGCCATCTTAAAGATGGTCTAAACCGTCTATTTTGTCTAGTTCCTTATGAAGTTGTTTCTCCAGAAATATGGGACCATGTCATGCCTCATTGGATGGAATCAATAGCCAGTGATGTTCCTCCTAAAGAATTACATGTTTTAAAAATTCTATTGAGGTAAGAATGCACAAATAGTAGATTGCTTTTCAATGTTCAGCAAAGATTTACATATTTTTCTTTAACAGAGGTATTCATTATGATATTTATTATGGAACGGGAACTGAGCAATGCAAATTAAGATATAAGAATGTAATAACTATGTATTAGTTTAATATGGGTTGGTGCAGGTAGACACAGATGCATCAAAAATCTGATTGTAAAGTTCAAATTTACCTATTTAGCAGAAGCAGTGAAATTCTATGTTATGACAAGGATGGGGGCAGTGAAATTTCAATTGGAAGTCAATGTCTTTTAAAGTTATCCAAATACTTAAATTTTTCCACCCATCTTGTGCCTTTGAACAATTCAGCTTTTCTGATTCAATTTTTTGTGCTACTTCACATGTTTGTTTTATCGTAGCTGCCATTATGTTTCTGATTAAGATTCTCATTTTTAAAATTATTTTTTTAACTGTAGCTTTTGTCAAGTGATGCATGATGCATTGGTGGATGATTGCCATGCTGAGTTCTTTTGCAGCCATATGGCCAGCCAGGCTTAGATAGTTTGCATATTTGTGTGTATACAGTACTTAGCAATTGTGTTCCTAGGGCATGAGAATGTGGCCATGCTGATAATGTTGCATGTATGCAAGTGGCAGACACTAAGCAAACAGACCTTCTCTCATAAGTTTTTCAGATTTTTTTTGATTTTTTACAATTAAAGCGTGTGTTGCGCTTGCGGTGGGTGTTTTTTGCTTGGAAATCATTTCACATGGAAGCATAAATTGATTAGGAATTGTGGTAGAATTCTGAAATTTTGCTAAATAAAATGGTGTGCTTGTCAGTTATTACTTTATGTGTTTAGGAGGAAAGAAACAAAACAAGCAACATTCTTGCATAATTTTTCATATTTTTCTTGATGCTATATTTTTAACAATGTTGTCAATCCAAATTTTCACTTTTAATGAAGGAAAAACTTAGATAAGCTTCTGCACTGAACAGAAAGAACACTCTTGGACACATTTAGACGACACTTCACGTGTGATAGTAATCAATCACAGCACTGCCAATTCAAGTTTGAGATCAGCAGGCCTTTAAATGTTCTTATCTGGGAGAGAGTTTATTTACCTAATGTAGTGGATGTTTAGCGTAAACCACAGTATTGGTGAATTGATGACCCTTATTGCTGTGGTATTACCACTGATAGCAGTGATTTCTACATGAATAATTTGCTGGATGTTTTTTCGCCTGTTTGTTGAGGCTATTTATCTTGCATTTAATTTTGTTGTCTGTTGGCCGTTTAGTGTTCTGTGTGCGTGTGCTCCCCAGTTGAAAGCATTGCATGTAAGTATGGAGATTTAATGTAAATCCTGAGCCAAGTGAAGACTTTTTCTTTTTCATTCCACCCGTTTTTGGAACCTTTGCTTTAGTTCCTCCCTTCTAAATAATACCCACACTGCTAGGCCTTTTTATAAAGAGGAATTTTTAAGGTAACTTATAGAGGCCACTAGGGGGACGCCCCGTTTGTCCGACAAGTTATTTGTCCGACAGTCGTATCTAAGCAAATAAATTAAATAAGTGAGGTATTACAACAACAGGGAAAGGGCTCGTTTCACTTGTCCGACAGCTGGAGTTGCGTTTCAAACTTGAATAGATACTAGAAAAAGTAGTTGCTGCAGTAGGGTTCAGTTTCTGGAACTACAATAAGTTGTAACAGTAAGTAGGAGTTATTACAATAACTTAGAGTTATTCAAATAACTTTTGCTGGCGCGCCCGGCGCCGTTTCCGGTAGGCCTTTCGGCTATACTCGGCTCAGCGCTCGGGCAGAAGCTCGGGCCTCGGGCCGGGCCATGGCTCGGCCTCCCGGAAACGGCGCCGGGCGCGCCAGCGAAAGTTATTTGAATAACTCTAAGTTATTGTAATAACTCCTACTTACTGTTACAACTTATTGTAGTTCCAGAAACTGAACCCTACTGCAGCAACTACTTTTTCTAGTATCTATTCAAGTTTGAAACGCAACTCCAGCTGTCGGACAAGTGAAACGAGCCCTTTCCCTGTTGTTGTAATACCTCACTTATTTAATTTATTTGCTTAGATACGACTGTCGGACAAATAACTTGTCGGACAAACGGGGCATTCTCGCCACTAGCCCAACTTAATGTTCTCACAGTTGAATTAAAAAATTAACAGTCTTTGAAGTATGGAAGTAGAATTGAAAATTGACACAACAAATTTTAAGTTGTTAAAATTGTTTTAAATTAATGCGTATCTGTTAACATGTTTTCTCTGCTATCATTTTGTTTGGTGAGTCTGTATACTCCAATCTCAATTAATTAATATATTGCACTCTTTGCTTGGAGTAGCTGTTAAGTGAGCATATCATGGTACAAAAGGCCTACAGTATGTCCTGCTGTGTTTCTGTTTCATAACCCTCCCTACTTGTCATTCTTACCCTTTGGAAAATTGTTCATTTTCCCAGCAGCAAGATTATTCTAAAATATTACTTGCCTTTGAGACACTAGGGTACAATACGATTATTATGTTCCATCCATAACCTTTCAACTTATTTCAAATTTTTTTAAAGGACGTTATCAATCCATTTATTTGCATTATTTGAAAAATCAGGAAAATAGTGACTAAGGCACCCACTTTGCATGACTGTTTTAACAGTGAGCTTCTTGAATAAGTGATATGCATGGATTTAGAGATGGCTGATTTGTGTCTGTGCTGTTCATATAGTCATATGTTCCAAAATTAGTACCAGTTACAATTCAACATTTTATTTTGTTCTTCAATCTTTTGTTGCATTTTTCTTAACACCTATCTAAGGTTTGGGAAAACTCATGAATAAAACCAAAGATTTAAATGATTTTGCTACAATTAGAGCTGAAGTAATTTTTTACCCTTTCAACATTTTATTGGTTTTTTAACTCTTGTGCCCTGCTTGGTGATTCTCTAATCTTTCATTTTGTTTCCTTGAAAGCTATGTTTATTTAACTTGTCTATTATGATTAAACTGAATTCTGAAACCATTTAGACTTTGTGTCAAACATGAATTGGCCAGTCATATTGTTTCCTTGTTTTATTTCAGTAAAATTTTGGACCCAACAATGAGCCCTTTAGGGTTTGATGATAAACAAATATACAACTTCATTGCAAGCAGATTTTGTGGAACTGCTCCCAAAGTGCAAGAACAGGCCTTAAACTGGCTGCAAGTATGTTTTTCAGATCTAATTTTGCAGGACCTTTACTTCCTGAATGGTATAAGCCCTTATTGTTCACAAATTGCAAACTCTAATTTTTTGTGTCTGGTTTTCATGTTTACAGATATTGACTACATTAGAAATTGTTATACCCCTCCCACTTCTCTTCTCAACATTTAGTGATGGAATCTCAATAATGATGGCTCCATCAATCAATAAGGAGAAAGAAAAGTGGAAAGAGAAGGATGGAGACAAAGAGAAGTATAAAGACCATGGTTCAGAGAAAAAGCAAAGTGGTGAAAAAAGTGATGAATCAGTCTGCAGAAGTAGTATATGTAAGTATCTTTTTTATAAGGGTATTATTTCACCTAGACACTTAAATGGTTCAGTCTAAATCATTACATTGGGTGCAACTTTCTCAATTCTATGTTATTGTTGTGATGCAAATTACTTTCCTATCGTACCTGTGCATAAATAATTTAATGTTCATTTTGGTTTCTTTTCTTATAACACTGATTATTCCAAAATATGGATACATTTCAAAATCAACATTGACTTGTCATCTATATTCTGAAACATATTGCCTATTATTAATGTTATTGTATGTCACATACTCGTTACTGAGTGATAGTTAAATGTGTTTGCTGAAACCACTCTCTCCCTTTAAATTAGTAAAGGATTGTAGAAAATACTTTGTTTCTTTTGCCTAGACACTTCGCCATTGTCAAATCTAATTATTTAAAAAAATACATATATATATATATATATATCAGCTCCATACTAGTTTTGAAAGTTCAAACAGTCAATTTCATTTCTTTAAATGGGAGGTTTAAGCGTAGTTAGACTTTCTGCACCATTTGTTGCATGACAAAACATGAGTGCAAAACCTGCACCTACAAATAGTCAGCTTAGAGCATTAAAGAATACTTTTCACTGAATGTGAATATATTGGCGACATCTGACAAAAATATATTGATGGGAAGAAAAACAAAATTGAATGAGTGGTAAACAATCAATAAAGAAAGGAGAAATCAATTGGTCATGTATGTGCCCTAGCACTTATATAGAACGTGTACAGAACACTGTTTTTCAGTTCTGTTCAGAAACAGAAGGCTTGATGGCATTGGAATGTTAGCTTAATCACTCAAAGATATTACTGTCTGTCATTGGTAGTGTTGCTATGTGCAGCTTGGTCTTAGATTAAGAGCTGTTGATTTATTTGAATGCCATGACACAGCACGGAGGGCTAAGCCGGCTAAGACACAGCCTCAAGGGTTGCCTTGGCCTTGCTTGGTCAAAACCAGGGGAAAAGGCAGCACTGCGGTCTGTGAGTACTTGCAATAAACTTATTGTGCACCCTTTCATATTACCTGCACAAGACTTTATAAAAATATGTTGCAATGCTTTGTATACTTTGCTGTTGTGTAAATCTAATCTCTCAGAAAATATTATTGAAATGCTGATCCCTGCAAGTATATTTTCTCGTTGCTGCTCTTCTGTGAGATGTATGTTTCTTTTATTACATTAACTAATCTTATGGGCATTGGAGTGCTTTCATTTTTAACATTTGTTAACACTTAATCATTTGTAATCTTCTAGGTATTTGAGATTGAAAGCCCTTCGGCTTGTAATTATTTTGAGCATAATTAATTATCATCTTAATCCATTGTTTGCAGTCACTGTATCAATTTAAAAGTTTTGACAATTCTGTTAATCGTGCTTAAGATCTACGGCACAGTAAACACTAAACCATTTATTACCACATAACTCTCATTGCTAAATCGGTGTTCTAAGATTATCTTGACACTCTAAAAATTTTGAGCTTGTAGGGCAATTTGATTGTTTATCATCAGTAGCTTATAATATAAAATAGAATTTGAAGCTTAATTTGATCTTTGGATACTTCAGAGAGTAGCAATCTCATCCCTCATTCATTCATTTATGTAAAATGTACCAAAAAAATGTATGTAGTTGGGGTGTTTATGCTCTGATTTCCAAACGGTACTATTCTTAACTCTCCTCCAAGTCAATACTGACTTACCTTAACTCTTATAATAGATGATTTATGAGATTTTCCATTATCTTAACATAAATAGTGTGACAGATGTCATATCCTATACTTGTATTGCTATAGAAAATATATTTTTATTTCCTAATTTTTTATCGGAGTTTAGATAGGGGCTGATTAGCTTTCTGCTTCCATTCTAAATCTGCATAGATGTATTCTGCAGTCAAACAAATCATGTAAATCTTAAAACAAACAGAAAAATGTGCTAAAATTACGCTCCAGTGTTAACATATCACAGTAATGCAATCAGCTTTGTCATACGCTCTATAATTTAAAAGGGTAGTAAAAATGTTGAGCAGAATTGATTTATTTTAAATTGTTGGCCTTTTTATAACTTTGATATGTTGGTGTATTTTTGAACTAAATTCTTCATCACAAATCACAGTTGCTAGCAAATTTTGTATAATTGCTGTAGTTCCCATGGCAGGATATTTTCCCCCTGACTTTGATGTGTTTGCGTTCCTCATTGTTAACCTTTCTTTCCCCCTTTTTTAAGTTCTTACTGCATGTATAATTGTAACAAGTAATCTCTTATTACTACCAATACTTTAAAAGATGGCATACATTTTCAGTATTTGGGAAACACTGTAGCAATACCTTAAAACCTTGCATAATTTGAAAATTTTCTAGTTTTGTCCTTTCACTTTTTATTTCATTTCAAAAAATGTTTTCCAAGTGGAGTGAAGACCAATCAAATCGGTGACGTAACTTGCTTATCCCGTAAAGCATATTTTAGAAGTAAAATTATCAATACTGTTGAGCTTTGTATGTTAATATGATGAGAACTCAGTCTGTGTTGAAAGATTGTTGCAATGCTTTTGTGAAGCTTGGTATATGTGTATTATGCTTCCATCACCCCATCAAACATCAGAACATTTCTTGTTCTTTGTTTAATATCATACCTATCCGTTTTCGTAAATCATTGTTTCATTAGCATTCATAAGTTTGCCCATTTTCATTGAGAATCGCCAATACAGAGTTTTATAAGTAATTATTTCACTGATTATTCACAGATGTGTGTGAACAAATTTTTATTTTCTACTAAATTTACAACATAAAAAACTTTGTTAATTTCAGTGAAATCTTCAGTTTCCAATGTTTATCAGTTATGTAGAGCAAAATTGTAGGGCAAAATTCTAATATATCTGTTATCTATAATTATATGGAAGTATGTAACAATGGCACATTAATACCTCATCTTAACAATAATTGCTGTAATGCTAAAAGTGTTCCTACAACACTTGCTGTCCTTTGATTTATAATCTGATGCAAATTACTTCATATTTCTTTCTTACAGCCCCTGTAGTTGAAGATGACTCGGGGAATACATCTGGAATGTCGGATGATGAAGGGCGAGCCTCAAGACACATTCAGTTCCAAACTGCTGCTGAGCTAAATTTGTCATGCTGCATACTCATGTTGGATGTTCTTATCAAACAGGTAGTCTTGGACCCTATAAATATTCACTTTTCCTCATATTTAGACAGTTAAATTATGCAACAACTCTATTCCAGATGGAACTTCAAGAAGTGGAACCACATATAGGCATTACTACTTCAACAGCTCAAGATGCCTGCCGTCTTCTAAAGGCTATGGTGGGTGCCTCATGGAATGGCACCCACACTTGCACTGATCGCACTGAGTGCATGTTCTGTGAATCATGCGTCATGTGGTATCAACTTGCTTTACAACTGGTTAAGTTCCTTGCTCCAGAAAACCCAGCTCATCCGCCTGATGTAAGTAACCTTTACCACTTCTGCCGAACAAGACAATATCTATCTCTAAATTTAAATACTTTGTTGGAGAGTATTGTGCAAAGTATGTGTTAGGAAAGGTATAAAAATTGAAAAAGGACAAATATGTTACAATTTTAGAAGTATCTTGTACTTTTATCTCTACTTTTATCCTTCATATTTTCCAACAAATTCGTTTGAGATTTAAAATGTGATATTGTAAAAAAAAAAAAAAAACATTCTTTTGACTTGCTTAGGGAGTTCCACTGCACAAGTCTGATTATTTTTTGTACAACTATCATGCCACACCTACAAAGTTATGATGGATTGTAGAAATTCTACTCTCAACATTTTGGAGATGGTTGTTAACTAGGCGGGATATTGAAAGTGTCATTTTGGTGATGTGATTTGCACACTGACTATGAAATTGCACTTGGTGATTCATTTTGACCTTGTCTGCCATAATGTGGCGTAGAGTATGATTGTTGTGGTGTGTTGTCCAGCCACCTTTGGTCGAGCCGAATGGTGATGACAGCCATAAGAGTCCTCCAGACTCTGACAAGAAATGTGACCCCAAGTCGGACGTGGTGATCAACATGCCGCTGCTTGAGATTCATACGGTGGGCGGTCTGCTGGTCAAAATGCCTAATGTACGTAGCTAGCGTTGAGTTAGGCCCAAAGACTGAGACCACAGACTAGATTTGACACTCGGCACTCGGGGTTTTGGGCACAATTGTATCATTAATGTAGGGTATAGGACAATAGGTTTCCGTTTGTGAGTTAGTTAGCACATTAACCTGAATTTGCTCATAACTGTACAGCACTAAAGAATTAAGAATAACTTATCAGAACACAACATCAGGCATAATTTATTTCATATTCAGAAGATTTGCATTAAACTTTGAAATTTGTAAGTACATTAAATTACATTAATTTCTCCCAGTATCTGACTTACTGGTGTATGGTACTTAGGAGAACAATTGAAGGACATTTTTGGCCTAGTTCTCTCAAGACCTTAATTTTTGAAAAAACTCCTGTTTCCATGCTGTTGTTCCTTTTTTTTTCTTTTCTCCCCCCTCCTTTTTTTTGTAAGAGCAATATCTTGTTGAGGATGAAGTAAATTCAACCTGAAATTCTTAGTGATTTCCCCAAAACTTTATTAGAAAGTAATTGGGCCTGCCTTGCATTGTCCTTGGATTTCCATCTTCTTGTGTCCTTGTATCATTCTGATTTAAGACAAAACCAACTGGATTTCTGAAGAAGATTAAGAAATGTAATTATTCATTGTGAAGGAAACTCTTCACTGTTTTTCAATGAGGCCTACAGCCTTTCTTTTCGAATTTCTCAAACAGCTACTTTTAGAGTTAGCAGTGTGCCTTATAGGTCATTTATAGTTAAAAATTAGCAATGTCATGGGTAGAAAATTGAATGGAGGAAATATAAAGTCAAAGAGGAAGCTGACATTGACATGTGATGATGCATTTTCTACCAGGAAAATTACTTTTTGTTTAATGTTCCTGTCCCCAAGCTATTTTTTTCCTTAGTCACAGCCCCAATATTATTGATTTGAAGTGTTTACTTAGTTTCAAGGATCCCAGGGTATTGAGATTGGTGAGCCAACAACTTCATCATGTGGGATGGTATTCTCAGTTGTTTTGGGTCACTAGTTGAAGTCTCACTATGTCAATGGGTCTAACCAAGCTTGATTTGCTGCTTAGAAATTTAGAGCTGCGTAGCACAAAAATTTTGACACATGTCTATGTATGGGAGAGATCCTAAATATTTAAAGCTGCGGTTAAACAATTGCTACTACAGTTCATCATCGCACTAAGTTCAAAAATATAAAAGATGAGTTAGATTCAAGCTTGGAGAGCTTTGAGCTTAAGCATGAGAATGTCTTCTTCCACAAAATATTCCATTACTGAGTAGCGCTACAAGTTGATCAAATGTTTTTGTGGTAACTTGTGATTTGTACAATTTTTATTTTGCTATTGTACCAGAAATCATAGTTTGTCTAATCTTCATGTTTGTAAGAGTTCATGAAGTGATTAAAAGTATACAGGACACAATTCTAGTCTGTCCCGAGGGAAGCAATTCAAACTTTTTGCAATGCAGTAAGCTTTTAATTGTAATACAGTTAAAGACTGTCAATGTATATGTGTATGCTGAAGTACTGTCACCAGCCTTATGTTTATTGTAGCTCATGGGTTACAGCACTTTAGTTCAATGGGCTGTCCATTTGGGATGCATGCACTTGGCCTATGTTATGGTTAGAGCAAAGCTAGATGTCCAGCTAAACTTAGGATTTGCTGACTATAGCTAAAATTGGCCAGATCAATTTATTAATCCTAGTTGTCACCACTTCAATTTCTGGCTGTTCCAATGTTTAGCCAGTTGGGTAAACCTTGGTTGAACCTAGAAACCCAACAAAATTGAGAGAGTAAGCAAAAAATAGTGCACATTATCTGTTTATTTGTACGGGAGAGAAGGAAGGATTTTTTTTTTTTTTTTTTGAGAGAAGGAAGGATTTTTTTTTTTTTTTGTGCAAGGTAATCTAGAGGGGCATTTGCTGCTAAATGTGACACACCATCAAATGCAGGTGCTTTGCAGCAGTAAACACCAATCCCCCACAACTTGCAGGAACAATGGAAATGTACCCCTCCTATCCTCCTACACAAAAGTAAACAAACAAAGACACAGCAGAAGCAAATACTTTGAAAAACAATAGAAATTATGTCACATTTTTAGGTTTGACTCAAATGTCAGCTAAACCCAACTGGTTAAAACTAGGAACAGCTGGCTGTGAAAATTGCCTGGGATTGCTAAAATGGCTTGTCCAATCCAAACTTTGGCCACCTAATCCTAGGTATAAACGGGTATCTTGCTCTAACCATACATTACACAAATTTGTGGTAGGAAACACAAGCTGGGTAGAGAGCATAGTGTGTAAACATGAAGCATTTGGCTAATGGATTTTAAGTATCTGTGGTACCTTTTGCCAGGGTATCCTCAGCTAACAATCACCTAGAGGACTAAATAATGAATGTCTGCTCAGAAGCCTTTGCCTCTGCATGTAATGTGACCATCTATGCATTCCTATTGATGGAAAAAAGTAACAGCTCTACTGTGTAGCTAGTGGCTACTCATTCGTAGCTCTTTTTCAATTTTTAATTCAGATGTGTACCATATTATTTTGCATAGCTGGTTACCTATGTACATGCCACCAAGCTTGACTTAATTAACATATGTATCAACACACCAAGCTTGGGCTACTGTACAAGTTGGCCAAATTGTAGAGCCAGCAATGCTTTTTAATTCTAGATCAACTGTGCATGATCCATGAATAGCACAAAACTACTTAGGATGGTCATAGTTTTAATTTTGAAGCTGGCTTCGAGGTAACAAACAAATGTGTAATGCTGGTATTTTAACTGCTCAAAAATGGTTGAAGCCATTGTATTTTTCTCAAACTGCTTTTTTTTATGGAATTCACATAGCCTTTACAGCAATTAGGATTAATGAAGAGTGGTTTGGTATCTACTGGGTCTTAGGAATGTTTTGGATGGTATTAGACAGTCCTCAAAGGCGAAGCAACAACATTTCTACATGTGGTGTACATTTATACAGGGAAACAGAAGACTATTTCAATTACAGTCAGAGAGTATTTCATTGTGTCATAAACCCTATGTACCCTAACTACCAAGTGTTTGATCTTTATACGATATTGCTAACATTGAACTCTCTGGCCTTGTAAGCACAACCACCACCTGTAAGGTCACAGCTGCTGTACAATATTCACATGACATGCATACCTGTTTGTGTTGTCACATCTCATTCTATTACATATAATCTTTAGTTTGATTCCGTTCAAGAAATCATATAACAGAACATTTGAGAAAGTAAGAATTGAGCTTTTAATACTCATTGCCTCAATTAGTTTGTTTGTATGTGGTATGTGCTTCATTATAAATATTTTCAACCAGTTTTGAGCTAAATAAGTAGAAACAAAATATGGCTGACCTGCAATTAATGTGTAGTGACTTACAGAATTTGTAGAGTTTGCTCAACTAAAAGCTGTATTATTGTTTTTAAAAGAAAGTATGTCAAGAAAAAATAGCAAAAAAAATATTGTCATATGCAATGCAGTAAATTTTACAATTGCTTTGAAAACACAATCTTACTCACAATATATGCAGTGCAAAAATCAGGTTTCTGAATTATTTAAAACAATAGTTAGTAATTGAAATGCAACCTGAATGTGCACTGCTCCCTCATTTTCGACAACTGTCACTGTAGTTAAATATGGCTTAAGTTGAAGCACGCAGAAGTATTGAACATTTAAGTGCCTTTACAAAGCAAACGGTTGAATTATTTGATGTCTTAGTACTATTTGACCCACATGAATTGAAAATATCATACAGCTTAGTAGGCCTGCAACTCAGGGATAATTATAAGCAAAGAATTCATATCATACATCAGTTACATATCCTTTAGACTTTCTATATAGCTCTTTGTTCTGCACCAGTATTTATATTTAACTATAGTTGTATAGGATTTAAAACCAAATATCATATTAAAATCATAGATTCAAAATTCTGCATGTTTGCATGATTTAACATTAAAAGTACATCTGAAAAATAGCCAAAAGAACATTTTTGTTTCCTAAAGTAACATGATATTTTTAACGTAAGTATTGAAACTAACCAAGAGTACCCAAATTACCCAAATCCTGTCAATTTGCATTCAGGAAATGTTCTTCATTTTAAAGCCCGATATAAATTTTCAAATTTTTTATAATCTTCACTGAATGTTTTAAATACCAGGTTTATTAGGAGTTTTCCTTCATAAATCTGTTGTGTACTAAAAAGTATTACGTATTTCAAAGAATACTATTCTAAACCTAAACACTAAATATTAGAAATATCTGTGACTTTGCAACCAGAAAAAGTTTGTTTGCTTATCCTATTTATGTTTATTACAGGCTTTACATAAATCATTCAATTGTTTTTTACAATAATGACTAGGTACATTTTGGACGTAACATTCACTTGTGTTTAAATTGACAGAAATCTGTCAATTTATTGTCAAAGGATGCATATTTATTAATTCATTCAAACAACAGATAAATTAATGATAGAGTTATACATCGTCACATACATACATCATCACAACAAATCCGTCACATTTTGTGGTCAACCCAATAAATATTCTTTTCATTCCCACAGATCATGACAGCAACTGTTGAAACAGTCACGGAGCAGCTAGATCTGGCACTCAACATCCCAGATGAAAGAGTGGCCCCAACAGTGGCACGGGCAATAACTCTTACTGACACAGATGTTGGCAAGTGACGTTTCCTGCTACCTTCAATATCAATACTATATACTTGCTGACCATTTGTTAATTTACTGTTTTACTTTTCTGTCTGATAGCGAGTGCGACTTCAAGTGTAACCAAAGCTGCAATTGGTGGAGAAAATGAAGAGCTCATTGATTCAGAAGGAGATGAGGATCAAGAAAATGTGTGGGTGACATCTCAAGGAAAATTTCACTTTTCCTTAGATGCTCTTCCCCAACATCTTCAATTTATTCATCAACTTCTAAAGGTTTCGTAGCTTGACCATATGCATTTAACATTGAGCTCATAAATTACTCTGTTAGAAATTATGAATAATTTCATTTTTTGATACTTCTTAAAATCCTAGGAGGTGACCCGGACTGAAGAACCAGACATACTCTATCACATGCTTCAATGTTTGCATGTGTTGGTTTTGCATGGAGATGCTCTCTCCAGAGCCACCAAAGAGTATCGTGGATTTGTAATTTGGTGTCAAGAAAATCTGTTGATTAAAAAGTATGTGTGGTTCCAGAATGTTCGGTTGACAATGTGTATAAATTTATTTATTTTTTCCTCTTTTTCTTAGCCTTTGGGATCTATGTAATTCTGATCGATCTCATATATGTGAAATGAGTGTTCCTCTTCTCCTGCACTGTATTACATTACCTTCTGGTTCTGACGTATTTTGGAATATTATTAGAGAAGATTTTCATAGTGCTGATTGGCGAGTTCGATTTACAGCAGGTATTAACTCTCTTCATCCAGTCTGTTTTTCCTTTATTGTTGAAGCGTTACAGTAAAATTTATTTCTATGTTTTCAGTTGAAAGAGTCACTGTCATTGCTCGATTCATGGATGCTACACCATTACGTAACAGTATGACACTTCAAGCTGCTCTTGCCACAGCATTTTGTTACTTGGTATCGGCTATGGACGACATAAATGTGCACGTCTCACAACGCTCCACATTATATTTAGGAACAATTCATGACAGGGCGATGAAAGTATGTGCTACATTTCACCTCTTCACTAGTGTTCTTTTTTTTTTGTTTCAGTCATAGTTGGTAACATATTTACTTAGTTTTGTTTTAATTAATACAAAATTTTATCAACAGTCTCTCATTATGTGTCTTGAGACACAATTTGATTTGTACATTGTTGATCGGCCCATGGTGTTACAGTCACTGTATCAGTTACATAACTGCCTCAGTGATAGAAAAATCCTGACATGGGAATTTTTTTTGAATCGGTTTGACACTTTGTTTTTGGAGGCTCAAATAAACCTTGAGAGGGCTGGAGACATCGCTTATCCCAGAGGTAATAACTAGTACACTCTAAAGAGTTTCATATGTTTTTCTATGTGTTTTATGTTTTTTCTACGTGTTTCATGTTTTTTTTATGTATTTTATGTTTTTTCTATGTTTTTGTATGTTTTTTTCTTTCTATGTTTTACCTTTTACGTAATCTGCTTATCTGCATATTTTTCTCTTCTTCCTCTTATTAAGATTTAAGAAATACAGATCTGAGTAGTGACACATTTATCCGTAAACTGAATCGAGCACATGAGGCGCTTTCTCAATCAGATAGTAGTGGAGTAGCCTCAAAGACTTTGAGTGCAAGTTTTGGTCACAAATGGCCTTACAAGCGGACTATGTCAGCTCCAGCTGCAATGGTGCCACGACAAGACACAAAGCCAGGTATTACTCCACAAAACCTTTACAAAAGAGGAAGGGGTGAAAGAGTCATTTGGGTAATTGCTTTGTCTGGAGATGTAATTCATTTTATAATTCCAGCTCTTATTTATCATCAAAATTTCATTCACTGATAATTTTTGCAATAAAATACAGTATTTGCTTTGTTACCTTCTTGATTGTCTATGCTTATGTCTTCTACCTAACTTTCTTTCTCAGTTTTCTGAAAGCCACCTGGCAATTTTGCTTCCTGATTCATTGGTTTTCAAGTGTTCTTCAATGTCGCATAAAAGTAAATGAGCATCTGCCTCCCTGCTTTATATTTCACAATTGGGGCTCCTTTTGTCTTCTACCTCCTCAATTCATGATGCATGTATTGCTTTCGTGTTTCAAACAATACTGTATACATTCCTTATAACGGAATTTATTGTTGGTCATTAGCTTCCCAAAACCACCCCAGGAAAATAAAAATGGCAAATAGACCTTGCATCACCATTATTATTCTAAAAGATACATGTTTATTTTGCTGCTGTTTTCTCAATTTGATATATTTTGTTGTCTATGTTCAAAGTAATGTTAGGAAATGACCTGTTGTTCATTTTCAGAAAAGGAGAAAGTGTACAGTCGGCAGTATTCTGCCCCAATATTGAAGAGGAAAACTTCCCGGTTTGGCCTTGGTCAGTTTCTGGGACTCTTTTTTAATACCTAGTGTCAGGTAGCTGGTAGATAGTAGTTGTAGTCAACAATATTTTGTTGATACATGTAGAAACTTAAATAACATGGAGAGTGTGAGATAACAGACAAATTTAATGTAAACATTGATTCTACCACGTGGTATGCTGAAGTAAAAGTAAGATATAGATTCTTACCTTTTATCCGTTTAGAAAGAAATTAAATCCAATAGGCGCTTCATGATCTAACAACTTAAAGTAAAGTGCATGTTGCTCAGGCCTAATTTCATTTTATTAGGGATTAAACAACCTCTATCTGTTTTCTAAAATAAATGCTAATATTAAAATTAATCATAACAAAAAAATTGATCTTCCTCACTTAACCCCAACTGTTTTATTTTTCATTTCTTTCTATTTGCTCTATCTAAACAGTAGAGGTTGAAGCAATCTATCAATTCCTTGTCCTCAATGCTTTTCTGTGCCTTCTTTGCTCCTCTTCTCTTTTGCTGCAGTTGATCAATTTTGTTCAATGTAATTACAATTTCTGTCTGCTGGTGTAGCTTTGTAAATTTTATTGATGAGATCTACATATTCAGAACTGGAGTTTGTAGGGTCTTCCGTTTTATGTTACTTGTACTGGAAAACATGTAAGGTATCGAGAGTTTCAAGAAGACACTGTTCTCATTTAGACAGCCACATGACATGGCTATTTGATAACAATTAGGTTTTGCTGCAAGGACAATGAAACCAGCTTAGTTGTTATATTTGTATTTAGAACTGTAAGTGGAATGTAACAACTAATTTTCTGTTATGACCTATACTTTTGATATTTTCATTTAGATGGACATATCCATTCCTTAAACACTGGTGATGATGGCCAACTGGTGGGTCTTTTACATCGCATCGTAGATCTGGAGGAAGCAGACCGAGAAACAATGCACCTACTTGTCTTCTTACTTCTGCAATTTTTATCCCGATCGGACCAGGTTTGTTTGTCAAGTTTTCTTTACTATATGCAATCAACCATAAAGTAGAAAACCTTACCAATTTGCTGATTTTTTAGGCTTCACCAAGTGAAGAATCAAAACTGAAGAAAACTCAGGGTATTGTTCTGCGTCACTTAAATTTGCTATTGGGCTATAATTCAACAGAGAGGGAACGTCCGGGTTTTCATGTTCCACCAAGCAGATTGCGCACATCACCAGTTTTCAATGTTTTTATGGCCAATTTACCTCAGTTGTTAGATCAAAATCATTTAATTGGTAAACACATGATGCCGACTCTTCTGCTTTTGATGCATTATTGTCCATGTCCTCAACAACATAGTCACACCCCAGACACACAACATGCCCCTCATCATAGCCTGTGGTATCTGGAGCCTCACACACGCAGGTCATGGCTAATGGCCCTTATTGTTCTACTATATAAGGTATACCTTTACAAATTCCATCACAACTTTGATAAAAAGAGGGGAAAAAATCTAATTTTATATCTTTCTTTAGTATCCCTATGCCAATGCACCGGACAGTATAAAAATACAATCTCTTGTACGAATAGTCCTGAATACATTGGATGCTCAACAACATGTTTGCAGAAGAATTCCAGCAACTCTCATGGTTGGAGCTCCTCCATCTCGGTCAAGAGGTGAAACAGAAAATAATTCATAACTATAACCTTTATTGTGTTACTTTATTTTTATATCTATAATTTTAAACTCACACTCCATGTTTTAGATGTGAGTCAACCCTCACTGGGTGCAGACGGAGAGAGAGGAAGTGACAAAGATAGAATGGAAACTCCCCCTCTATCGCCAATGTATGCAGGTGTTGACCCTATGGGCCTCATACATTCTTCTGGAAAAACTGGAAAGCATCAAGCGCTTTTTCATCAAAAATCTCCTGGAATAGGACCTGGGGCTAGTTTGGAAACACATTTAGAGGAGGATGATTCAGCAGCAGCTGGAAGCCAAGAAACAAAGCGTTGTGGAAGGCGTGCTCTTGGGTCAAGGTATTTTTTTGAACTGTTAGTTTTCTAGAGCTCATATTTAAGTATGTGTTTTTATTTAAATTCTTTCCATTTTTTCGAAGCTATTCAACTGAGGTGGATGAAACTGAATCAGAACTAGCTGCAATCCCAGAAAGTCCAAAATCTGATAGCACTATTCATGACACAGCTCAGGTATATTAAGTTCTACTTCTAAACTTAAACTTCAAATGGATGAATGTTAAATTTCATGACTGCTCTTTTTATGATAGGTCTCTATGGATGATCAAGTGGCTCCAGCGGAGGAAGTTACCGAATCAAAGTTCACAGAACACCGATGTTCACTTCCTGGAGAGTCCCTAGGAAATACTGTAACCCCGCGGCGGCCTATATGGTTTCTTGGAAGTGAGGACAACACCCTGCAGGTATGTGAATGCTCATATTCAATCTTTCGGGTTCAAGCAAAACCTGGCCTCTTACTACTAAACTAATTCAATTTCTTATCTGTTTGTATTTTATTAGAAATCAATGAGCATTGATCAAGCAGGCTGTCAGAAATGGGGTGTACGAGAAGGAATGAAAATGATGGTGAATGCCTCATTATTTGGAACGCCTCCTCAGCCCCCTCCTTTGCGACCAACGACAGCTGTTCCAAGTAGCAGTAATGGGACAAACGGAACAAGTGGTAGTGTTAAACAAAGAAGCAATAGTCTAGGATCTAGTTCAAGTACACTGATGACTGCCACCTCCACCTCAGCAGCAGTAACTGCTGCAACTTTAGCTACTATTGCACTTCCGAGGACTTCTGCTCAAGAGTATGCCTCATTCTGTAATCACATATTATTAGAATTTGCAAGTACGTGATTTTTATTACTAAAATCTTTTAATTTATTTTTTTGAGTAGGCAATCAGATAATGATAAAGACAATGATGTATGGACTGGAGATCAAAGTTCAGAATCACCAGTTCAAAAGTCTTTAGGAAGACAAAAATGTGTTGACACTTCAAGCACACCCACTGGAACCCCCTCTACACCCATCACTACTTCTGCACCAAGCCAACTACCATCTGCTATTTCCAGCATGACACATGCTCCATGGCAGTTGGATATGTACACCAAACCATCACTTCAGTCCACCTCCCCACAACCACAACCCTTGCAGCTTGCAACCCCAGCGGTTGAACGGCTGCTACCTATTGGTGGCTCTCGTCCTTGTATGTTTATCATGCCAACCACATAATTAAATCCCCTATCTATTCTTAGTCTCATACATTTCTCCTGTGACTCAACAGGTACTAAAAATTCGTCTCGCTTTCGTTCGGATGAAATAGGCTATGGATCTCCAGAGTCGCCCTTATCAAAAATGGAAATAATGACAATAGGTAAGCTGCAATTTAATTTTGTTTGACTGTTGAATAGAATTTTCTCCAGTATTGTGTCTGATATTCTGTTTTCTATTAGGCTCTCCAGTTGAGATTGACAGCGAAAATAATGTATCAGAAGTGACATCACTTCATAGCATAGAGATTCCTCCAACAGAACGGTTGCTACCTATTGGATCAAATAGTGAAAACGTACAAAATTTTGTAGAAAGAGTACGCCAAGCTCTTGGAGCAACATTGGAATGCCCGCCAGGTCAGAAACTTCTTAGATGTGCTCTACAAGGTGTCCCATAGGCTCCGTACATACTTTACTTTTTTAGTTGTTGTTATACTGCATCTGTGGGCGAATAAAAAAAAGCGGGGGTCCTATGGGACAACCTGTATACAAAATGCTGTTCCTAACATTTGTCTAAATAACGTTGCCAACTTATATTTATTATCATTTTAAAGATTGCAATGGTTCAGAACAATCATCACAAATGCTTTCAAGACCAATCAATGATCGGAGGTTGTCTGATCTTGATGCTTTCCTACCTCCAAATAAGACAGAAAGTAGTGATAAGGTAAATATTACAACGTTATTTGCTTGTCCTGTGGCAGCTAAAGTCTTTAAACTCTGTATTTTATTTTGATTTGGTCTTTTGTTAGTCTCAGTCTAGCAGGTCTATAAGTCCAAGACGTTTGACTAAGCAAGTTGCCCTGGAATCACCCCCACCTCAAATGTTGCCGGATTCAGAGGAAAACCATTCATTCTACCGCTCTATACATGACAGGAAACAATCAACAGCCCTGCGTAAGATTATTTTTTTCCCTGGGAAATATGACTTTTTGGTAACTAGTGCATACCTCTCTCTGATCATCTGAATTTTATCCCTTTGTTTCTTTACTATGCAGCCAGCCGTTCAGATGACCACCTTCGTAATCAAAGGCAGAAAGCTAGGAGAACAGGCCAAGGGTTGTTCAGCACGGGTCATTACCCGAACATGACTGATACTCCTAAACATGCAGGATGGTGTGTTCTTTCAAAACTGTCTATATGTATCCATGGTGCTCTTGTACTGTTTTGAATCAATTAACTAACCTGTATTATTGGTTTGATATTGTAGGGGTGGTCCTCAACTTCAGCCTCAGTTAGAACCTGTTGTTCAGCAAGCATGCCATGCAAATTTTAATTTGAAGCAAAGCTCATTACGTATTGGTGAAGATTGTGTATATGACAGGTAAATAAATAAAGGAGGATGTGGCATTTTTAAAGGTATCTCTCAATTTAATAAGAGAACATTTTACGTATTCATCTCTGTTCCCTCAAGGTGTTCTGAATGTGGTGCTGTTCGTGAAGAGTACAGTGATGAAGAATTGGGACTCTGTATAGTTATACTAGGAACATTTATTCATAGAGAACCTGCTCTGGCGGCTCCCTTATTGCCAGAAATGCTAAGCACCATCGCAAAGTAAGTCTTTTCCCTCAAATTTTGTATGACAATAGAGGAACATATTTATCTGATTCTTTTTACCAAAATATCTTTATAGGGTCTCTTTGAACGCGATGTATCCATGGCAATATGACACCAACATTTATCTACCAGGCGGAGCAATCAGCGTCGCACATCAGTTTTTGCGTTGTGTGTTACATCAGCTAGCTCCCAATGGCATTTTTATGCAAATGTTTCAGACCCATGTAGATGGTTAGTTTTATCTATCTCTGTTACTAAACTAACAACATGCATTGCAACCTTCATACTAACTTTATCCTCCGATGAAATCTCTCCTATAAATTTACAGATAGTGTAAGGCTACCGTTCTTTCGAAGTGTTGCCCAAGCTCTCCAGGATTTTAATGAATTGAGTCCAATTGCTCCTTTACAAATGCTTCTTGAGGTTTGTCTTCCCTTTCCTTGAAATCCAGTAATCTCAACTAAATTTGTTTCACTGTTCAAAATTTTTTAATTTGCAGGGTCTTAACTCCAGGAAAACACTTGCAAATGATGTTATGCCCATTGTGTTGCGCAACATGGCTTGTTACCTTGATTGTCTACCGATGGATGCTGGGCTTGGCGCAATACTTGCTCAGTTAGAAGTTCTTTTCCGTCGTTTAGCATTACAACTGCAAAGTATGGAGAGTGTGACACCTCTCCTTCGTATAATGATTTCAGTTCTTCGTATTCAAGGAATTGCATCATATAAGGTTCGTTTTAGAAATTTTGAAAGGTGTTACATCCAGTGTTCTTGTGTCTAAAAGTGTTATTAAAATGTATCTGGAAACTTTTTTCTAGGGAATTCTGGATCCTTTTTCAAAGGTCCTTAGTTATAGTATACAAAATTTCCCAATTAAGTACCATTATCTTGTAGACCTTTGCTATTTGTGCAACAGAGCATTTGTAAAGGTTTGTACAATCTAACAGCCGTAAATTGTGAAGTGTCTTAAGGCAACAAAAAGAATATTTTAGTGTCTTACATCTGCATTTTTCCTATTCAGGACCGAGATAAATTACTCTTAACTCGTACTGTTGTATATGAGATGGTACAGGCATTAAAGTTCAAAGTTTCAATGCCTGACAATAACTTTTTAACACTGATAAATTTCATACTTCAGGTAAGCCACCTATAATATCAGTCCATCTTAACTTTATTTTAACTTTCTCCTGCATTGTGTCTCTCTCTTAATAATTGGTATACATCAGTTTAAATCTTATAACATCAGACAACCTTAAAGTCAAATAGAGAGAATGATCAGTCACTGGATCTGTGGTGCTGTCTTGTAACACTTGTTTATATGTTATTGAACTTTTGATCTTTTTACCTAGTGCTTGTTTGTTTTGTAAACTCAACTTATTTTTTATTTTTTATTTTTTAATTCTCCAGGATGCTGGAGGATCACTCCCACTTACTTTAGCTATGAGTCAGTTTTTAGCATTGTGGACTGACCCTGGACCAATATTCAACACTGGAGCTGCTGAATGTATGCGTCAACACTTGGGTGATGCTTTGGATTTTTTGGCAGACTTTCACACCCTTAGCAAAATTAAGGTTAGTAAGAACTTCTAGAGTTTTGATTTTAATCAAATTTGCCCTTTGGCACGTTATTGATAATGAATCTAATCACAGAGCATTTCAAAAGAAACACCTGTGGGTTTGAATGAGGATACATTAGGTGGTGTGATTAAAAGTGGTATAGCACAGTATGTAGCCCTAGAGATTAGCAGAGGAAATGGTCGTGACAATAGGGCAGTGGCCCGCTATTTACCATGGCTCTACAACGCACCTTCCTCTCTTCAGCAAGGGTTCGTAATTTTTCAATCAACTTTAGAATGGATGTCCTTGACTAAATAAATTTCCACTTTGTAAATTTCACATACTAAATGTTGATCTAATATTTTAGGCCCCGAGAATTTATGGATTGCCTGGGGCATATAAGATTGCTATCATGGCTGCTTCTGGGTGCTTTGACTCATACAGCAACTCATACAGCAGTTCACTGCTCCTCACATACTCCTTGCCAGCCTGTGCCTCAAGATGCTAGTTGTCACATATCTGACCACATTCAAGCCATAATGTCAGGATTTGCTGAGCAAAGCAAAACATCAGTCCATCATATGTCATCATTATTCCACGCTTTCATTCTATGTCAGGTACAGAAGTTCAGAACATTTCTATATGAAATATTGCACGTAAATCAACAAACTATTTTTATAAAATTTTGAAAAAGTTATTAATAGTGTGCTGCTCATTTCAGCTATGGACAGTGTACTTGGAGCAAATGGCAAGCACAAATGTTCCAAGCAGTGAAGCCCATGTTCTAACCATGAGTATCCTTCTTGATTTTTGGGGCAAAGTGACACCTTGCATCCTACAACTTGTATCTCACTCTCGCATTGTGAGTTAATTTGTTCTCCTGAGTATTGCATTTGGTATGTTACTGGGACTTACATTAGAAATTTGATATCATTGCAGTTGGCAGAGATGGCAAACCTGCATTTCTTATCGTTAATGGAAGCTTTGATGGAGAGCAGCTCAGCAATTCTTAATAAATTACTACCAGTTTGGAGCCCAGTATTATTTGCATTTCATATGCAGGTATATTTTCTCTGATTAATCATATAGTGAAGCCAGAAGTCAGTCCCAAACTCATTAATCTTTGTTTTCTTTTACTGTGTTTATGCAGCTCCCCGGTCACTTGCAGATGAGGTTGCAGAACTGTCGAAACTTCCCTCCGTCCACATCAGCTTTACCACCACCACCAACTGCACAAGCAGGCAATCAGCCTGTTAGCAATCCAGTTTTACTAAGGTGGCTCCAACGTCTTCAGTTCAAAATGGGTCAAATTGAAGTGCAGTCATCAACAGCAACACAGTTTTACAGTGTCTGAACCTTCTTTCACAGTAAAACTCCCTTGTTACACTTCGTAAGGGCAATGAGAGCCCAGATTTATAATCCTTTAAAAGCTGAAAACTTAAACAGTTAAGTTTCAAGGTGTAAAGTATATATTTGAAGCCTTACATCTGATTTGCAGGGTAAATTTATCGTGAGTTTTAATGTGTAACATGTGCAACAGTCAAATATCTTTGCTGGAGTTTTACTTCATGATTTTATTTTGACATTAAAAAGAAAGAAAAGGTAAAATATTGAGGCTTAAGATGTTATCATTACTTGCTCAGGTGAAACACGCCATTACTTTTGCACTGACAAGTACTGATGCATACTCGTTAGCGTTAGCACAATTTAATGTGATGAGTACTGCTGGGGTATTACATACTATACTACAAATTGCTCATAGATTCTTAAGATTTGTAAATAACCTTATTTGCTTTTGTGGTGTACAGAGTACAGTATATCATTTCCTAGTTACATTTTCAATGGAGAACTTTTAAGCAAGTAGACCACATGTGTTGTTAAAGTGTTCCCCAATATGCAAAAAGGATTCTGAATGGAACACTGTAAAGCTTGTGAATTATTGATGTTTTTGAGAAGCAAATAATCAAACTCATGGTATTACTATGTACTGTATTTATATTTTGTTCATAGTATTGAATTATTTTATTAATAAAATACATTATTGTATGTTAAGTAGAAAAGCGATGGGTAAAATAATTGAAGTGTTCAATGAGATCTGACTTTTTTTTCTGTAGACTATAACAATTTTTTAAAATTAGGAAACTTGCCATTTCTTTCACAAATCCAACGAACTGCCAACTCTTAGTATTTGTTTATATCTGTTAATTAGTTTCAAGGGGTATTTGGTTTTCAATCCCAGTGAGAAATGAGTTTTCTTCGACATCGATTCGATGTCGACGTCGAAATAGTCGAAGAAATGTAACTTTGTCCCCAAAATCCACATCTTTTTAATATTTTGATGTTGATTGTATCCACATTCCCATTTCTCCCTGGAAATAGTAAGTTTCTAAGGTGAATAAAACATTTGGTGTCTTAGTCTTTTCTGTAAAATGGGGCTTTATTTAAAAGGTGAAGTTAAACAAAACCAGAGGATACGTTTCGGATATCAAATAAGTTCAGAATCAATTTGCTTCAAAAGATTCGAAGTTGAGTTGCTTTTTACTTCCATTGTCACATTTTGTTCTCCTTTTTTCTGACTTATGTTCTATTTATATACCCTACTCATGGAATGCAGGGACATTTTTATAATCTGTTTAAAGTGTTCAAATGTCTTTTGTACAATAATGACTGTTATGATGTAGTTTTACAAATGATAGACTTATACAGTAATTTCCTGTGGGATATTGTTTTAAAACTAAAAACAAAAGCTATTTAAGATTTTTAAAAAATGTTGATGAAATAATATCCTAGTTATTCTGTCACTCTTGTAGTGCAGTGCTGTGAGCTTACTACTTGATAATTTTTGTATATATGATGATTGTATGTTCTCTGATTTGACCCCTCCCCTCCTTTCTACTCCTAACTTTATTTAGTATATGTATATTATATTCTATATATATATATCATGTTGATGTTTGTACTGATGTAGTTGTCTAGCTGATGTTCATTTTATTCATATTTAATTTATTTTCATTCCATCACATAGTTGGTGATTTTGTCTTTGAAAATTTAAGGACAACTTTTAAGAACTTGATTGGTGATATAATGTTAAAGTTCTTGAACTGTAAGAATGGCTTCCTATTTGTTGAAATTTGAGAGATTTTATTTACACAATTCGAGATGTAGATATCATACAACATCAGTTTGACTCGTACTACCTATTAATGGTTTAGAGACTTCGCGGGGGGGAAACATATTGATATAGAAGCTGACAGCAAAATTTCTTTTTCTCAGGAAACAAATAATTTACGTTTGTGTGGGTTAAGGTGTTACCAGATGATTATTGAATGTGAGAACCTAATGAAAATCAAAAGTAAGCAAACAATAACTTATTGCAGTAAATTATGCTTTGGCAAAATTTCATCTAATAATGGTACCTCAAATTTTATTAACATGAGGTGTAAGATTGATAATGATGTCATTAAAGTTTTGCTGTGGTTTTGTACTTAAAGATTTTTTGAAACACCATTGTTTGTTGTTGTTGAAAGACTAGTGCCTAAAATAGATAAATAAAGTCTACTGTTGTTGGAATCTTCAATAAGGTAAATTATTCTGACACCTAAGCAGAGTGACGATCCAGTCCTACCTTATCAGGGAAAGTTGTGTCAGTTGTACCTCTTCTTTTTGATCTTGCTCTTGGGTCGCATTTTGCCAGTTCCTTCTTCTGTGGTGCCTTGTCCATCCAGATTGACCTGTTTTAAAATTCTGCATAGTCAGTTACTGAACTCCAAACATGTTTACAATGTAAATGACTTGCATTATACCTTATTGAAAGACCTTTCAAGAGAATTTTCTTTGTAACCCCTTTCAAGAAGTTGAACAGCTTTATAATTTGCCATATAAAGCCGATGCTGGCGCTCAAGTAATTCCCTGACTAGATCTAAATGGTGTGAAACCAGCTTTTCAACTTCACTCTCCAGTGCAGTTTTTTTCCTTTCTGCAAGTATTTGAAATTGAAACACAGGGGGAACAATATAAAAGTTTAGATGTATGACACAATGTACTTCTAATACCATCTAGTGATGCGTTGGTAGATATGCCATAGCCATCTCTCACAAAGATGGGAAGCTGTAATGGTTTTACCAGAGGAGCAGCAACTACAGCATGTTTTGATTTTAATGAGGTTGAACCGGTTTTCCTTACATGGTCATCATAACTTGAGGTTTGAACGGCAACTGAGACGTTTCTGTTAGTAGGATCATAATACTTATTCCTATTAATCATCCTCTTTAGGGATTCAGCCTCCTTCTTTGATAAATTGAAAGAAGTACTTTCAGAAGCAGAAAGGCTTTCAGTGTTTTCTAGATTTAACATTAAATCCTCAACATGTAGACAACTTTTTTCAGATTTATTCTGAGTTGCAGATGTGGAACTAACTGCGACCACCTCAACCTTATTACCTGTGTCAGACTCAGACTTATTACAACTAGATGAAAGAGATTCATTTCTACCAGGCATATTTAGTGCAACGTCAGCTGTGTCTCTTACATTCTTCATCAGACTGCCTCCAGAGGAAGATGACACTGATAGCACAGTTATTGACTGTGGCAGATTTTGAAATTCTGTTCCTATTGCCAATGCCGATGAATCCAGTTTTGTTTTCTCTTCCAGTGGCAATACTGACTCAGCGAGAGATGACACTGAATGTACATTAAAGCCTATTTCTGAATCAGTTTCAACAGAAGCAAGACTACTTGAAGTATCCGATATGTAATTATCGTCAATTGTGGGAGGCGGGGTGCTTTGATCGTGCAACATAGCTAGCTCACTCTCATGTCCTTGTGGTAATTTTGCTAATGCTATGGAATATGGCTGGACAGTTTCACCGACTGATGCTTCTGCCCGGTCATGAACTACTAGAGTGGCACCTTGATGTATTATCCTTGGTGGTGCTGTTGATAAAGATCTACTAGTTCCTTCAAGTTCAGTTCCTCCTTCTTCTCCATCATCAGATGTATCATCGTCTAAGACGGCTGAGGTTTTGGAGTACTTAGCATCATATTTAGACAGTGTCAGTCGGAGATTTTTCAGTTTAAAACTTCGGTGGGTGGATTGCATGATAATCAAATCCAGTTCTAGAGTCAACCAATAAACAGCAGGAAAAACACTGGGACTGATCAGATTATAGGGAGAGATAGAGGGACTTTCTCCGTTTTATGGACTCTTCTGAAAGGCAGCCGGTCTGTTTGTCTTCTTTAAGTAATGTTTTTTTATCTTTACTATTGTTTTATTATTGACAAATAATACCCGATAGACAATACAAATACATATAGAGAGGGAGAGACTTCTCAGTTTTACGGCCTCAGCACAAATACATGTAGATGACAACAACGTTGCTATGGAAACCATGATGAGAAATTTGTGAGGCGAGACATTTAGTAATAGCCAACAAAGAAAAAAAATATTTATCTCTTCGAACGGACTTAATATTCAGAAATAGCTGAGTGAACCTTCAAAATATTCGGAGAATTAATTTCACATTTTTTCTTATTCTATCTTTTGTCATCAACGATTCGCATCAAAAATACACAATCCATTTTTCTGTTGGCTAAACTGAAAAAATACGCAGAAGACGACGAAGAAAAGCAATTTTACTGTTTTGTTTGGTGTTGTTTGGGACGTTTGTTGAGGTCTAATCTGAGTTTACGTCGAAATACTGAATTCATAAAGATTACTCTGTGTAAGTATTTTGTTTTTTTCTAATGGTTTCTAGTGTGTCGGTTTGGTTTTGCTCTGTTTTTTTGCTATTCGTCACTTTCATCATTACCATCGCTAGTCGCAGGTTAAAATGTAACAAGTGACAGACCAGACCAGACAAAGCAACGAAACTCGTTCATTTTTTACTGTCAGCACGAAATTAATTATCGTTATGTGAATATTCGAGATTTATTTTCAAACAATGTGTACAAGTTGATCGCAATTTTCGCTCTTTGCTTGAGCATGCATTTTAAACCTTATTTGATGATAGTAACCTGTTGAGCTTGATGCAAACCTGACGGACCTGACCTTTGCATTTGCACGTTTCTGACTCTTTCTTTCCCACATATTTTAATACATTTCTTCAAAGTTAAACATCCAGTGTTAGGTGTGTTATTTAATGAAACCCTTCAGACCACTTATTATGATATTTATGTTTTGATGATGGTATTCAGCCTTGGAGTACAAAGGGGTAATCCGTTTTTGGATTTATAGTTTTCAGAGAGAGAAAAATCTGATCTGAAGGATGAGCCATGGAAACAATCAGAGAGAATCAATTAATTGGTATTTTGGAAATATTTCCCGCATTGCCGCTGAAAACGAATTAAAGAATGGTAAGGATTATAATTTTCGTCTATATTGTTTTTTCCATTCTGATCTGATTCATGTTTCTTCATACTTGTCTCCTTTTTGCTGCCTGAACAATATCCTAGATATGTGGATATGGTTTGTATTTAAATTTTCCTCTCTGTATTCAGTTGTGACTCATCACCACTTTCAATTCTGCCAGTTTTTGCATCTTGTAAAATTTATTCATTGAATAATCCAACATTATTATCCAATAATTCCAACTTGTTGCAATTTATTTCAGTTGAGATCCCAGAAAATGGACTTTTTCTTGTCAGAGAAAGTAGTTCTTCTGCAGGCGACTATGTCCTATCTTTTCTCCACAACAAAGAGGTTTTCCATTATCAAATAAGACGCCATGGAGAGGATGCCTTCTTCTCCATCGGTAAGTTGTGGGCCAAATCTTTCTTTTTTTTTTTTTTCCTTTAAAGATTTTATTATTATCAGTGCTTCACTTTCTGTTTTTTCCCCGTTTATTTCTTTAGATGAAGAAACAATAATTCATGGCCTTGATACTCTGATAGAGTATTACCAGGTTGAAGGCTTGGATGTACGGCTTACCAGACCACCACGACTTCAAGATCCGCCTCCCCACACCTCACGGCGTCATGGTACCACTAATCTATTGCATCGTGCCACAAGAGAGGGTAACTTGAGTTTTCATCTTAGAAAATTTTGAAATTAGAGAAGGTTTGTTTACATCCGAAATTTCTTCATGGCAGGAAATTACAAAATAGTGTCAGAGTTATTAAAGTGCCAATATCGAAGTTTGGATGCTAAAAATGAAGATGGACAGACTGCGGTACATGTAGCCAGTCGTCTTGGTCAAGATGACATTTTAAAAAAACTCATTGAGAGCAATGCAAATATCAATTGTCGTGATACTGCAGGATATACCCCCTTACATGTATGTATCAACTGAGATGTAATTTTAAATTACAGTTTCTATCTTTATATCTATCTGATGTGTTACGGCGCTTATGTGTACTACTCATGTCCTTTTTCAGTATGCGTGCAGAAACAATAAGGCTAGCACAGCTAGAATTTTGGTTGACATGGGAGGAGCCAACATTCAAATCAGGCACACTGAAACAGGTAAAGGCTTTAATATGCTGCACATTATTCCTTTCATGTCTAATGTTTTCCCTTATGATAGTAACCTGAATTTTTTTTCTTTCCAGGCCATGTTCCATTACATGAAGCTGCTAGTAATGGTCATGTTGATGTTGTAACAGTGCTCCTGTCACTTAATGCTCCTGTAAATCCAAGAACTGTGAATAATGAAACACCTGCTGATTTGGCTCATTTCAATAGATTTACCGAATGTGCCAAAATGCTCCGCGACTACAAACCTCCGGCCCCGCGATCGAAACGTGAGGCTTGGCATCATGGGACCCTTGATAGAGTTGAGGCCGAGGATATTCTGAAAACTTGTAAAGAACAGGAAGGAGTTTATTTGGTTCGATATAGCAAACGTCATAGTGGAGATGTCCTAACTATAAGTCATAGAGGGCAATTTTTCCATTATCAGATTAAAAAAGACGTAAGTCAATGTAGATTTGATATTTCATCAACTACTTAATCCTTACAACATAAGTACTTTTTGATCTTTTGCCTTATTATGCTCTCACCTACTTTTACAGAATAGCTACTATTTTATTGACTCAGGTCCATTACACAACACTATTGAGCATGTTATTGATTATTATACTCTTCTCTCCGATGGACTACCAACTACTCTACAATTTCCAGTTCCTCCTAAACCAAAGCCAAAACCACCAGAAATACCTCCTAATGGGGTATGGTTACTTGTTAGTTATTTGTTTTACATATTAGTTTACCTTGGTATACTGAATTGTTTCATTTCCATAAAATTTCAGCTTGCATCAACTCTTCCCTCAAGAAGGAACCGCCATCGGCTTGAAGAAATGATTGGAAATTCAACTGTGGGAAGAATGGGCCATAGCCTGGGTCATGGTCTTCCAACTTTGTATGGGAATGATCCTCCAGAACTTGGCATCCCAACTGTTGCGACTGTTCCTCCACTAGCCATCATGCATTCGGCACCTCTTTCAGCTCTGCTTTCTAATACCAACTCCTTGGCCTTGACCTCTCAATCAAGCCCACCTACCACCCTGGCTTCCTCCTCACTATTCACCAATAACTCAATCAATAGCCACACTCCAAGTGTTCCTATTCCTAGACTACATGAGCCTCAACAAGGTCAGCACTGATCCATTTACCACTACACAATCAGCTTTGCGCATATGGATAAAGTATTTTTCCTTTCAGAACACATTCCTACTGAGCAGCTGAGAATTGGTGATGTACTTGGTGAAGGGGAATTTGGATCTGTTTACAAGGGTGTGTACATAGACTTTAAAGGAATTGAGGTAAGCTTTATATCTGACTTGTCTCTTATTTTATCCATATTTAATTTCCTGTATTATTATACTTTCTGCTGGGAGATTATGACAACTTGAAAGGCTTTTGAAGTGTTTTATTTTACTGTTTTTGTTATTACTTCAGATACCAGTTGCAATAAAAACGCTTAGACAAGAACATGCTCACAGAAATAAAGAGGAATTTGTCAGAGAGGCTAGAGTTATGATGGGACTTCGCCATCCTTGTGTTGTTAAGTTAATTGGAATATCTTATGGCCCTCCTTTAAGTATGGTATGCATCAATATTTTATCTATCAAGTTTTTTCTTGGGTTAGAATAGAGGACATCATTAATTTTATTTGGTACATTTCTGTGATACATTCAGGTCCAAGAGCTAGTTCCTTTAGGCTCCATGCTCCAGTATCTATTAGAGCACCCAGATAGAGTTAATCCTCAGTATGAGTTAAGAGTTTGGGCATCACAGATTGCCTCAGGTGAATATTTAAAATTATATTTTTCCTTGCAATTATTGTTTTTTTCCAAGCATTATCTTTTATATTTTCCTTACTTTTAGGTATGAAGTATCTTGAAGAAAAAAGATTTGTTCATAGAGATCTAGCTGCTCGTAACATTCTCTTGGCCACAAGACACCAAGCAAAGATAAGTGATTTTGGTCTTTCTCGATCTTTCTTGGAAAAGGACTATTATAAGGCTTCACAAGGGGGGCGGTGGCCTATAAAATGGTGAGTCATGTGGTTTGAGAAGTCAAATTTGTTCACCTCTAGATGTTGTAGTGTCTTAAGATTTGTTTAATGTTCCAACAGGTATGCGCCTGAATCCTTTAACTTTGGAAACTTTTCGAATGCTAGTGATGTGTGGAGCTTCGGCGTCACTTTGTGGGAAATGTTTTCTTTTGGACAACAGCCATATGGTGACATGAAAGGAATTGATGTAAGTACCATGACAATTTTTGAAGCCAAAATGTTCCAAAATTTCAAGTATACATCAAGCGCCTGTTTTAATCCAATCAGGTTACGGAGTTAGTCATGCGGGGAGAACGCCTGCAGCAGCCCGATCGCTGCCCTGACGATGTATACAGGATCATGGAACAATGTTGGGCATTTCATGCTCGTGATCGGCCCTCTTTCGCTCAACTCGCTGAAAATTTTGCTGCTGATGCTAACTATATAAATATCAAAGAGTTGGTTTTAGATTCAACAGTTAGTCTAAGTTGAGTGGGATTGAACAAAAGTCAATTGCAATCAATACCTATTATTACAATTTTGAGCTTAGTTTATAAGTAACCCAATTTCATTAAAGTTCCAGCATTCAATTCTCATCCAATTTCCAGTCTATACAAAAGTCAAAGACAGGGCAAAGCAGAAGTTTTTGTTAAATAAAATATCAGGTGACACCAACAATTTTAAATGAGTATTGTTGTTATAATTTCTGTGACTGACTGCTCAAATGTTTGTTTAATTCATCACAGCATTCATCATTTTTAAATTGGCTACTTCCAGAAAATTGGCTTTGCCCTAGCAGTAAAATTAAGTGTTATGATACTTTTGATAGGCTTCCTGTAGAGAAAATTAGCCAAGGCTTAGACTAAGTCATTTATTTTTATTACATAGTATTACATCTTTGTAACATCTGTGTCTTTTTATGATCAGCAACATTTTAATGCACCTATTCACAGTGCCTGCCATTCCACTCAGAGTTGTATCTTCCAAAATTGGTCGTTTTGTGGCAGAAAAGATGAGATGAGACAAATATCTAATTTAACAAGGTTTTAGTTGTACTTCCAGGCAGTGTTTTTGTTTTTAAAAAGGAAATATGAACTTATGTATGTTCTTTTGTACCTGACAATGTACTATGTCAAAATGGCTGTTCATGGCCTTAAGCTCAAATGAAATCATAAAACAATTCAACTATGCAAGTTGATCTTGTCTCACAAATTTTATGTATTTTTAATTTTGTTTTAAGTGTTAGTTTGATTCAAAGTATTCTTCCTACCTAACTTTGTTATTACAATTGTTGTGATTTCTTATAGTATATTTTGAATGGTTTATTTACCATAGGAATAACTTTAGTTTATTCTCACAATTCATATTCTGGTGGTGAAATATGATTCATTCAGTAACTAGTTATTTACATTCTGCCTTTCCTGTTATTTTTATTGACTTCATATGGAAATGTTATTTTACCTTATCGATGTGAGCTGTATAATAGTTTAAATGGAACATGTTAAGGAGATTGTTAGTTTCATTGTGTAGTGTGGGACAGTTACCTGCCAACAGAGTGAGTGTTTTGGTATTCCCAGTTTTTATCAGTGACAATCTTCATTTGTACCCCGTATATTATTTGTTAAGATGTCATTTATCTCCCTCATTTTTCATAAACTTATGCTTTACAATTTTATAAGGATCAGTGTAATATTATAAGTTGGTCTAAGCTGTGATGATTTAAAAAAAATTGTGTCATAGTAGCTAGGGGACTACTTCACTGTCCTTGCAGGTCTGTTCTGTCCTCATCTAAGTCATGCTGAGTAGTACGTTCGTGTCGCGCAATATCTAAAAGGGCAATAAATTATGAGACCAATATTAATAATAATTCATTTAACTCCTACAAATATTAGAAATGACATTGATCACAATGGCTTTTTGGCACCAGATTCATTTTCAGTGGTACCTGTAAATGTCTTCAGGGTCAAACCTTTAAAACGATAACTTGCAGCAAAAAGGACCTTGCGTCGTGAGCGGTATTCCCTTTGCCCCTCGATAATCTCAGTCCACTTCTAGGGGCATAACGCACGGGCGTGCCCATTCTGTGAGTGAGGAGTTGTCGGTCAGGCTGCAACATGAAGTGGACCGCTCCGTTCGAGGCACTGCTGATGCTCCACCAGGTCAGCGTAGGCCGGAGGCGGCGTCTCCGGCCTCCCGCCCCTCCTGTTGCTTTGGGGCCCTTCTCCTTCCTCCTCCCCGCAAGTCCTGGCCAAAGCCGAGCCGGCACCGCACGGTCCTGCGGCGATGGCGTCCAGGATGTCCTCCCACGACTCCGCCGACAGGCCAGCGTAGTCCACCTCCGGGCCCTCCCGGGTGCGGCTGGTCGGGCCGGGGCCGCTCCAGCAGCAGCAGCAGAGCGCGCGCCAGTATGTGAAGCGGGAGGCGCACGCCGCGATCACCAGACCCAGCACGAGGCCCACCTGGAGGGAGCAACAGCGATGTGGCGGAGGGCGCCAACGTTAGGCGAGGCCCAGCTTCTTCCAGAACCGCGAGGAGAGCCGAGCTCCTCCCGAAGCCAAGCTCACCTGGCATCCAAAAAGCGCTGCCCAAAAGGAAGGGATGTGATCGAACCAGTCCCGGATGAACATCGGATTCTTCGACGTTCGATCAGCGAACAGCGGGATACAGCCGGCCGTGTCGGCGCGCCGCGTCGTGCTCGTGGCCTCATGGGGCTCCGCTGGAGGGCTCTCCTCTCCGAGGGCGTCCTCGGGATACTCTGCATGTGACAGCAAGGAGGCGTTGGGCCCCGTCCATTTCCAATGCACCGTATGAACTCGTGCGGGAGGGTTGTCCATTCGCTCGGGTTCCTGATGGTGTTCCCCCACAATGAACGTCCCCCGAGGCCCGAGGTTACGTAAAGGTCAACGCGGGGTAAAGGCAAAGGTAGACGACAAACGGTGTCTTGCCCGACGCCCCCTCACCCGGGCGCTCCGGGTGGGCCACCGTCTCCACACAGCTGCTTCGCGGGTTGGCCTACGTAGATCACAGAAGGCGCTATCTATAGGCGTCGCCTCGTGGAACGTGAAACGTTCATTGTGGAGACACCTTACAACCGCACTCGCATCGTCCGGAACAGTATAACTATGAGTGTATGTTGGGCCAGGGCCACCTACTCTGTAAACATAGGGTGTCCAGCAGCTGTGCGTCTTAAGCTGCCTAGTACCTGCGTGTGACTTAAGTCGCTTTAGCTGCTGGACACCCCAGGCCAGTAGGAGGCCTCGTGTTGTGTAACTCGCAGGCCACGTCTAGCTCACCAGCGTCGGGATCCAATCGGTGCGGGAGGTCTGAGAGATCTGAGAGCTCCGAGAGCTCCGAGAGATCCACCATTCGCTCTTGCGTCCGCGCCGACCCAAAGACATGGGCGGGTGGCTCGATCTCCTGGATCTCCTCGCCCCTCCGCGAAGGCTCTCGTTCGTCGTCCTGCGCCGGCCGCGGCAACACGTCTGCCTGCAGACGCGCCAGGTGCTTGGACAGCTGCGCGACGGGGGCGCGCACCCCGGGCGCCGGGCAAGAGGTGGTGACCGTCACGTTGCGCGCGGACAGCTGTTGCAGCAGCTGGCGCGTGTTGAGGTCACACGCCAGTGGGTTGTGAGTCAGGTCTAGCACCTGCAGCTGCCTCTGGCGACCCAGCGCCTGCGGCTGCACCTGGATCAGGTAGTTGGCCGACAGGTTGAGGCTGGCCAGTGCGGGCAGCTCGGACAGAACGGCGGCGCTGAGATGCGCCAGCCGGCAGTCGCTCAGGTCCAGCACCTGCGGGAGCAAAGAGCTCGAGATGATGTGCACAGTGCAGAGCTGTCTCCGGGCCCCTCGCCGCGCGCCGGGCTCACCTGCAGGCGCGGCGCGGCCAGTAGCGGCCGGTCGGCAGGGAGGCTGGCCAGGTTGTTCCCCGCGAGCAGGAGCACCTTGAGCCCCCTGTTGTCGTCGAACGTGCCTGGGTGCAGCGTCTGCAGGTGGTTGTGCGACAGGTCCACCAGGCGCAGGCGCCGCAGCCCCGCGAAGGCCCACGCCCCCACCTCGCGGAGGCCGTTCCTGGCGAGGTGCAGCTCCAGCAGGCGCGTCAGCCCCTGCGCGCGGAAGGCGCTGTCCTGGAGCGTCCAGATGGCGTTGTCGTTCAGGTCGGCCGCGTCCGTGTCCCGGGGCAGCTGAAGGTCCTCGGCCGATGCGAGGCGCCGGCCGGAGCAGTCCGCCGTGCGTAGCCCCGCGCCGCCCAGACCCACCACGGAGCAGCGGCAGAAGTACGGGCACGCTCCCGCCGCCGTCCACCTCCAGCTCGGGCCCGGGTCAAGTTCGGCGGCGGGGGCCGTCGCCGCCAGGAGGATGGGCAGCAGAGCCACCGCCAGCACCCCGACCGACACCGACGACTGCATCCCGGAGCATGGCCGCCACCTGCGGCTGCGAAGCGTGCGGTCAGCACAGTACACAAGGTCCCCTCTCTCGTG